TTTTTAAGATTTTATTTATTTATTTGAGAGAGAGAGAGAGAGAGTGAGAGAGAACATGAGAGGGGAGAGAGTCAGAGGGAGAAGCAGACTCCCCACTGAGCAGGGAGCCCGATGTGGGACTCGATCCTAGGACTCCAGGATCATGACCTCAGCTGAAGGCAGTTGCTTAACCAGCTGAGCCACCCAGGCGCCCTCCCTTAGAGTTTCTATCTTCAAGATAATGGCATTTGTGAATTGAGATAGTTTTACTTCTTCCTTTCCAATCTGGGTGCCTCTTATTCCTATTTCCTTATTTATTTTTTAAGTAAGCTCTATAGCCAACCACCTGCGATCAAGAGTCACATGATCTCCCGACTGAGCCAGCCAGGTGCTCCCCCCTCCCTTATTCCTTTTTTTATTTTTCTTTTTGCTTCACTGTCCTGGCTAGAATTGCCAATGCAGTGTTGAATAGAAGTGGCAGGAATGAACATCCTGGTCTTACGCCTGATCTTAGAGGGAAATCTTTCAGTCTTTTACCATTAAATATGCTATTGGCTATGAGTTTTCCATAGATGGCTTTTACTCTTTTGTTTGTTTGCTTATTTATTTGTTTATTTATTGAAAGAGAGGGCATGGGAGAGAGAGTGGGGGTGGGGGCAGAGGAGAGGGAGAGAGAGACTCTCAAGCAACTCCCAGCTGAGTGCAGAGCCAACACAGGGCTCAATCTCACAACGCTGAGATCATAACCTGAGCCAATACCAAGAGTTGGCCACTCAGCTGACTGAGCCACCCAGGTGCCCCTAGATGGCTTTTAGTAGATTGAAGAAGTTTCCTTCTATTTTTATTTTTTTTATTTTTATTTTTATTTTTTTATTTTTGATGATTGTTTTTGATCATGAAAGGTGTTAGATTTGCTTTTTCTGTATCTATCAATATGATCATATGATTTTTGTCCTTTATTTTATTAATAGGGTGTATTACACAGATTGATTTAGTATGCTAAATCAACCTTGCATTCCTTGGATACATCTCACTTGTTCGTGGTATATAATCCTTGCTATGTTGCTAGATTTAGTTGTGGCTTGAGAATGTTTGTATCTATATTCATAAGGACAATTGGTTTGTAATTTTCTTGTTATGCCTTTCTCTGGGGTAGTATCAGGATAATACTGGCCACACAGAAGGAGATGGGATGTGTTCCTCCCCCTTTTTGTGAAATTCCTTTATAACAGTTTGCAGGATTTGTATCATTTTTCTTTAAATGTTTCATAACATTTGCCAGTGAAGCCATCTGTGCCTGGACTTTGTGGAATGTTTTTCCATTACCAATTCAGTCTCTTTACTTGTTATAGATTTATTCATATTTTTAATTTCTAAATTAAAGTCAGTTGAGTCAGTTTTGGTAGTTTGCATTTTTCTAGGGATTTGTCTATTTCATGTAGGTTATCTTATTTGTTGGTATACGATTGTTTACGGTATTACTATATACTCTCCTCTTTATTTTTGTGTAGTTGGTAGTAATGTCTCTTTTTCATTCCTAACATCAGCAAATTTATCTCTCCACACTCCCCGCCCCCCATGGATTTCCTGTGCTCATGAGAGTTTTAGAGTAGTGTGTGATCCAAGACTTTGCCCCATGATAAACAACAGGGAATTTAGCTCCCTCGTGGCTTTCAGTGGGGCTGTGTGAGCAAACGATGCTTGCAGCAGTGGCAGCCTTTTTGTGACCATGAGGCAATAAACCTAAGATGAAACAAAAAGGCAGAGAGAGTCTGGGTCTTTGACAACATCTCTAGGTACTGCACCTACTCTGGGGCCATCTGGATGCCACCTGATTCTCTTCTGGCAGCTCAGGCAAGATGGATCAGGAGTGGGAGATAGGAGAATGGGTGTCAGCCATCTGGAAGTTCAAAGAGGGTCATTTGGTTCACAAAAGGTACGCTTCCACTTTGACCAATTAAAGACCCACTTGGGTAGCTAGGACTCTACTCCTAGTTTATCCAAATGCTCCCATCACTGCAATAGTTTTCAAGGAGTCTAGATGCTGCGGGTGGTCACATGGCAGATGGTTCCTCCTGCCCTCTTTATAGCCCAACCCCTGTGAGGTAAGTATTATTATTCCATCTTATGCTTAAGAAACTGTAGCTTAGATTAATTAGCTTGCCCAAGGTCAACCTCAGAGTTGGGAATCAAACCTGGGTTCTCTGCGGCTGAGACATGGGCTCTGTTCACCCCGGTTACTTTAGAGACTAAACCTCATGACTCCCTCAGTCTCCACCTTTTCTTCTGTTTTCTCAACAGTTGACTTTGCCATTACTGTCACCCTCAAGGGGACCCCATGAGTCCAGTTCATAACCCATGTGAGTTCCAGACTGGGGGTCAAGGGAGTCAGGATCATTCGGTACATTTCCCGTAAATTTGGTGAAGAGGAGAGAGTGGTTGTAGAGTGAAGGGCACTGTGCCAGGTGGGGGCCCGGTGGGGAGAGGACAGAGAGGAGGGAGGCTCTGCTGGTGGGTGTCCACAGGTGGACACCAGTCACGTGGAACACAGCAGGCGCGCCGAGGACACAGCCTTGCGCGGGGGGCACCCTTCCTGCTCCGGTGATTTGGGGGAAGTTGCCTGAAGGAGGTTGGGCTCTAAAAAGGGGAAATGGGGATTCCAGGCCCAGAAAATGCTGGAGCTGAGCCCAGGGTCTGGAGGCTGCAGAGTGTACGGGAAGCACTCACAGCAACCAGCTGGCCTCTGTCCTGCTGTCTCCTCTTCCTTTGCCAACTCTCCAGCTACTGCTGCCAGATAATTCTCTCCTCCATCATTGCTCTGCTCCATCATTGCCCTGCTCCGAGGCCTCCCGGGGCTGGTGCCCGATACCTCCGGGAGAACAACCCAACCCTCCTTCCTCACCGCTGAAGCCTTCCCTGCTCAGGCCGTCTTCCTTTCTCTACTCTCCTGAGCGTGGCTGTCCCTGAGCGAGCCTCTTGCCCCAACGTCTGCCCGGCACGGCTCCCCACCTGGATGCCTCCCCACTGCCAAGTTGTGCCCACTCTGCAAAAGCCACCTGTGCCAGAAGCCTCCCCTGACTCCTTCACCCTCCCCCGCCCCTACTTGGATAAGTAAGTCCCTTGATCTCTGCAAGGTTCCAGTTTACCATCTATGTGATAACAGTAGTTTGTGTCTATGGGAATGGGAGTGGTGGAGAAGGTGGTATCGGATCTCAGCCAGGGCATGGCATTTGTGCGTCAGGTAATATTTTAACATAAAATCAAGGTTTTTTGGGGTTTTTTTCCATTATAGAAGTAACAAAACCACCTGGAAAACAGAGGGAAAAAAATCCCTTATAATAACCTCGCCCACTGGGGCGCCTGGGTGGCTCAGCCTGTTAAGCGGCTGCCTTCAGCTCAGGTCATGGTCCCGGGGTCCTGGGATTGAGTCCCACATCGGGCTCCCTGCTCAGTCGGGAGCCTGCTGCTTCTCCCTCTCCCTCTGCCTGCCGCCCCCCCCCCCTGCTTGTGCTCTCTCGGTCTCTCTCTCTCTCTCTGTGTCAACTAAATAAATAAAATCTTAAAAAATAATAATAAAAATAACCTCGCCCATCCAGGACATCTGTGGTGAATATTTTTGGAAAATGTGTTGCCTTTGTTATACAGAGGCAGAGAGTACTGGTCATGACTGTTGGAGGCTGAGGGGGTTTGTTGTTCCTACAGCTACATTGAGATGTAATTCATATACCATCCAATCCACCCACTTGAAGTGTACGGTTCAGTGGTTTTTCAGGATATTCACAGAGCTGTGCAACCATCACTACATTTAGAATATTTTCATCACCCCCAAAAGAATTCCTCCCCCCTTTAGCAGTCAACTCCAGGAAGTGACTTATGGAGGTGACTTGCTTATGATTATTTTGCAAGCATCTTTTCCATTTCCTGACAATCTTTTAAACTACCTTGTCTGGTGACTGCTAGCAAAGGATTTGGGGTCAGAGAATGGCATGGCCAGCTGTGGTCTAGAATGATGGTGTTGGTGGGACCCAGGGCCGAGGTGAGGGAGGGATGATGGGGGACGCCTGTGAGGAGGAACCCGCTTGAGACAGGGCTTTGGGGAGAAGAGAAGCAGAGCTCTGGAAGCAGAATTGGTAACACTACCGATTTGGATGTCGGGAAGGATGGAGGAGGGTGTCGGCACACTTCCTAGAGTGGGTGAAGGTGGGTGGTAAGGTCAATAACTGAGTCCCAGAAGCAGGGGAGGGCAGGCACAGGTTTGGGGAGGTGCAGAGCCGCACCGTTCCAGAGCCATCCTTGCCGTCGGGGTGTCGCGACCCGCAGGGACACATCAGGTGGGAACGTTCGAGTTCAGGCCCCTCGTCCCCTCCCTGCGGCACGTCGTCCGCTTTGCAAGGCGAGCCCTGCCTGACCAGTGGGGTGCCCAGGGTTCGGGTGGGGGAGGCCCAAAGGCTTCAAGGTCCTCAGCGCGCCGCGCCCGGCCGTGGAGCGGCTGGGGGGCGTGGTGGGGGGGGGGACTGGCGGGCGCCCGGGGGAGAGTCGGGTCCCAAACCCCCGGGCGGCCCGGGCTCTGCGTGCGCCGCGCCGCCGCCTTGGTTGGCAGTGCGACCGCTCGGGACACACCCACCGAGTTGGAGCCTAAGGGAAAGTTGGGGAACTTGACTTCGCCGGACAGCGCCACCATACGACGCCCTGGGGTCTGCAGCCCGCGCCCCGGCGTGCGCTGCTGAGCCCCGTGTGGCCCCGCGCGGGCGGATAAGGGGTCCACGGCCCCGGAGAAGGGGCGGTGCTCCGCCGGGGGGGGGGGGGGGCCGAGACGGGCGGGCGCGCCGGCCAATGGGCGTCGCCGCCTCCCCGGGGTCCCGCCCCCGGAATCCCGGGCCGGAGCGTGAGAGCCTGGCGGGTCAGACGCGAGCGGCGAACGCGCGGTGCGGGCGCTCCGGCCGTGCCCCGCGGGGCCCACGCGGCAACCGCGCGCCCAGCGCGGCCCGGGTAGGCGACGCAGGGGCTGGGTCGGCCCGGCCATGCCGCTGGAGGCGGAGGACGCGCTGTACGTGGCACTGGAGCTGGCCATCGCCGCGCTGTCGGTGGCGGGCAACGTGCTGGTGTGTGCCGCGGTGGGCACGTCGAGCGCGCTGCAGACGCCCACCAACTACTTCCTGGTGTCCCTGGCGGCGGCCGACGTGGCCGTGGGGCTGTTTGCCATCCCGTTTGCCATCACCATCAGCCTGGGCTTCTGCACCGACTTCCACAGCTGCCTCTTCCTCGCCTGCTTCGTGCTGGTGCTCACGCAGAGTTCCATCTTCAGCCTCTTGGCCGTGGCCGTCGACAGGTACCTGGCCATCGGCGTCCCGCTCAGGTGAGGCGCGCGGCGCCCCCGGCCGCGGGGCCCCTTCGAAGTCCCGCAAAGGAGCGCCCGCTCCAGGCCCAGGGTTGCTGGCAGGCGCGCGCGCGCGGGGCGCTCTGGGCTCCGGTTCCCAGCCTGGAGACACGTGCGCCCGGGCTGCCCAGACCCTCTCGGTGCCCGGGGCCGGCTCCTGGAGGCCTCTGCTCCCCCGGATGCGCACGTGTTTTTAAGGGGATCTGCGTAGGGACAGCTCTAGGAGTTCTGGGGAGTGCGGTCCCTGGTCGCCGGCCCGCGGTGGAAACTTCGGGGAAAGCGCCACCCCCGACGGGCGGGTGGAGGCCTGGGCGCGGGAGGTTTGGTCATGCCATCGCCTCCTCTGTGGCGAAAACTGTTTCCTTCCACCCGTCACCCCGCGGCCGACCCAGAGCGAGGTCCCCAAACTGTTTCCTCCCACCCACGGCTGAGGCCCGGGTCCAGAGCAGCGGCCCGACGCGCCCCCTGAGTCCTGGGGGTCCAGGAGGCTGGGGAGGTCCCAGGGCAGCCTTGGACACTGGGCCTACTCAAGACCCAACTTCAGAATGTACCTGCCACAAAATTAGGGCCAGGCCGGCCCAGGGGTAGGGGGTGGGGGGAGGACCCAGTTAACGCTAGGGAACGTTAGGAACATCTGTGCCTGTCTGCTGAATGGTGACCCAAATCACCTCCATATACTTTTAAGAGTCAAAGTGCTGCTGCGTGGGCCAGTAAGCACAGCCTCCGAGCCTCATGCCCCGTTGTGTAACCTTGTTTACCCTCCACTGCCCTGTCCCAGCAGGCTGGGGACGGAGCCAACAGGATTTCAGAAAACTGGAGAATTTATGGGTGGTCTCTTCTGCCTAGTGAGAAAAATGTAGGTTTCAGGGGATGGAGCCAGCCAGCCGTGGGAGTGCGGCCCCAGTGGTAGCTGATGATGGAATTCAATCAAAGTTGAGCACTCTGAAAGCAGGAGTATCAGGGAACCTCAGGGCCGATTGATATTATTTACTGCCTTCCCTGCCGGGGCCCTTTTGGCATTTCTGAGTTGGGTGAGCTTTGGATGGATCTCTTTGGGTTTGGAGCTGGGAAGGGAAACTGAGTCACGGGAGCAGGAAGGAAGGGAAGGAATTTATTGAGTGCCGACTGCGTGCCAAGTCTGAGAGGCAGTTTGTACTGTCCGTTTATCCTTTCATTCTTGCTCTAATTCAGAGGGTAGGTACTAAGGGGGTTGGTGGCTCAGGGAGGTTAGAGTCTTGCTCAGGATGATGCATCTAGGATGATGCATCCGGAATGAGTGTCGGCGCCAGGACTTGAACTCAGAGTTGGCACCGTATTCCCACTGTGCCATTATCAGGCTGTCTTAACAGGGCTGTGTGTGGGATCAGTGTTTGGGATGCGGGTAGAAAGCATACTGCTGTTTCTGGAAGCAGAATCTGTCTGCAGTCAATTGGTGGTTGTAAGGGAAATGTGTTTGAGGGAATTGGCCGGGAGAAGGCGCCTAGAAGCCTTTAGAGCAGGCAGACACGCTGAACCTGGGAGTTGTGGGTTGTGTCCTTGCTCCCAGTGGGAACAGGAACCTCCTGCCGGGCTGTAGGCCTGGTCTCTGTGTCCAGGCCTTTCCACCTGCTGCTGCCCTTGGCATCGGACCAGGTGGCCTTGTGCATTCCATTAGGTGACCAAGCCCCGAGATTTCCAAGACTTGGGGCAGCATGGTATGGCCTCTTAGGGGCCCTCTTCCTGCCTCTTGGTCTTCATGCTGGTGACTTGATGGCCTTTGGGACTGTTTGCATCCAGCAGGCAGTCAGTCCCGAGCTCCCAGCCCGAGTTGCCCATTTAACAGAAGCCCCTTGGCTTTGCTCCAGGCAAAAGCCCAGAGAGACCCCCCGCCCACCAGGAGTTACTGGAAGAATCCCTTGTGCCCCGCGGAGCAGGAAGTTCCATAAAGGTTGAAATCTGTTGGTTCTTGTCCTGGTTTGTGTTGGGCGGGGTCTTGAAAAAAAAATGGGTGTGGGTGTGTTAAGGGGAAAGCAATGTGAATCACAGGCCCTGAACATCTCCTTTGCATTTGCCAAGGGCAGGGGGGTGAGATGCAGGAGTAGGGTGGGAGGAATGGTCAGTGGGGAGGCGCCTCGGAGCTCATCCCCTTCCAGGCCTCTTGGTCTGCCCCTGAGAGTTCAGAGGTGTGGAGGAAGGGTGTGTGGGCAGCCTCTTCTCCCCGCCCCGGGAAGGTTCTGGCATCTGACCTGCCCTGGCACCAACCCCCACCCGCGGGTTGGAGAGGGTGCAGGTTCTCAGGGCTCCTGAGCCCTCCCAGGGGAAGATCCCTCATCTGCTAGCACTTCCTGCTTCTGGGGAGTACGGCCCCCGGTGAGCAGGCTAAGATGCGGGATTACAGGGCCCTGCTGGGTCAGAATCTCTGGGGTGGGGTATGGGGAGGAGATTCCAGTGTTAGTATCTTTAACTGGGGGATTGGCAGATCCTTGGACTTGGCCTTGGGACCCCCCCCCCCCGCCCCGTCACAGGTGTGGCGGGCTCCAACAGCATCCGTGCCCCAAGGCTCTGGGTTCGAGGCCCGAGTGGTCAGCCAGCCGTGAGCACAGCCCACGGCCGCAGAGACCACAGGCCCCACCTGCCACCCAGTTGCCAAGGGTAAAGTTTTAGTGACATCAGGGAGATCACAGTGCAGAGGGAAAGGGGAGCCCCAAGGTCATGCTGGGCACAAACATGACAATTTTGGCTGGACTTAAAAAAGAGGAGTGTCTGCTCACGCCAGGCACTGTCCCGGGCCTTCAGAGTGAGGGGCGCCCACACGCAGAAGAAAGGCCGCTTCCTCTAGTTCAAGATTCACCTTTAGTGTTGTTTCAAAATAAAGCTAAGAAAGAATTTCAGCTCTGGGTCCTACCCCTCCAACCTTCCCAGGGACACTCCTCCGTGAGTCTTCCCTTCTTCCACATCCGTGTTCTCTTTCTCTTCCAGACCATTCCGTTCGTGGGTCGAACGGTGGCCTCCCTGAAAGGTGTCCATGTTCTAACCCCCCAGAACCTGTGGATGTTCCCCTTATGTGGGAAAGGAATGAATAGTACTTTCTCTGTATCTTGAGAGGAGGACTTTGTCCTGGATTATCTATCCCGTGGCCCCTAAATGCCATCACATCCTTAGGAAACAGACCTGCAGAGAGGGAGGGCGAGGCCACGTGAACATGGAGGCGGGGCCCCCAGCCGAAGCGGCGAGAAGCCTGGGACGGGCTCGGCTCGTGCCCTAGAGCCTCTGGCAGGGAGCGTGGCCCTGCCGCCTGGCTTGCAGGATTCTGGCCTCGAGCACTGTGAGGGGATAGATAGTTTCGAGCCACCAGGCTTGGGGCACTTGGTTGCAGTAGCCCCAGGAGGCCACCAGTAACTGGTGGATGCACTGAAATCCACTCCCCCGCCCCGCCCTACCGCCAGTGGATTTCTTTGTGGCCCTCCGCCCCGAGCCTCTCCGGCGAGTCTTCCGCTCAGTTCACCTCCTGTGGGTCGAATCTGACGGTCCCTTCTTGGAGCTCATCACACACGTCCTCCCAGCAGCCCCCCGGGCCAGCTCCTGGGACCCCCGTCTCACCTACCCTGGCTCCCCTGTAGCCATTCTCCAGAATGCTGCCAGAGAGGAGGATTTGAGTCTTAGATCGCCTCGTTCCCCTGCTTAACGCCAGGCCGTGGTGCCTAGGAGTAAAATGCCAATGTGGCACCACGATCTGGCCTCTGCCCACCCACCTTGTCCCCTCCCCCCCTCGCCCACCACAGCCCCACGGGGGCCCAGGCTCTTTTCCCGGGCCGGTCTGAAGAGGCTTCTCCCGGCCCCTGCCTTCACTTATCACTGACCTGGCCCTAAAGTAGGTCTTTACCTGGTCGCGGGTTATGGTCTCCTTCTGCCCTGGGCATGAGCTCTTTGACTCCCAGGAGGGGCTTGTTCTTAAATTCCGGGCCCCAGTACTGGGCATGTTGCCTGGCACGGGGCAGGCACCCGTATTTTGGGTGCATATGTGAGTGACTGGGTGAAGAGTGTGTGTCGGGGGAGGGTCCCAGACAGCAGGTACCGGTAATGGGCAGAGCCGTCTGGTGAAATAATGTCAGAAAAAAGATGGTCTGATAAGTTTTAATGGAGAAAAGGGGGGGGGGGAACCATCTTCTGAAGGGCTCTCACGGGCCTGAGGGAGAATGGGGGAGAAGAGGTGCTCAGAAAGCCGGCATGTGCTATGGGCAAGGGCCATGCGTAGTCCTGGGGCCAGCCTGTTACCTACGGAAGGGAACATGGCTCTCAGGACTGGAGGAAAAGTCACCCGGGACTGGGGCGGAGGGACTTGGGTGCTCCTCTCTCGTTACGAACCCTCCACTGTGCGTGTGCACTCCTGAGCCCCGAGCGGTGACTTAAACCAGCAGCAGGTGCAGCATTTGCCGGAGTCTGAGCCCATGTCCCCAGTTTGGCTATTATGGACATTGCTGCTATAAACATTGGGGTGCAGTTGCCCCTTCGGGTCACTACATTTGTATCTTTGCGGTAAATACCCAGTAGTGCGGTTGCTGGGTCGTAGGGTAGCTCTATTTTCAACTGTTTGAGGAACCTCCATACTGTTTTCCAGAGGGGTTGCACCAGCTTGCATTCCCACCAACAGGGTAGGAGGGTTCCCCTTTCTCCGCATCCCCGCCAACATCTGTCGTTTCCTGACTTGTTAATTTTAGCCATTCTGAATGGTGTGAGGTGATATCTCATTGAGGTTTTGATTTGGATTTCCCTGATGCCGAGCGATGTTGAGCACTTTTTCATGTGTCTGTTGGGCATTAAATATCTTCTTTGCAGAAATGTCTGTTAATGTCTTCTGCCCGTTTTATTTTTAAAAAAAGATTTTCTTTATTTACTTGACAGAGAGAGACACAGCGAGAGAGAGGGAACACAAGCAGGGGGAGTGGGAGAGGGAGACGCAGGCTTCCCGCCAAGCAGGGAGCCCGATGTGGGGCTCGATC